GTGATAATTGAACAAGAGCAAGAAAGTACCTTTAGCTGGGATTCAAACCCAGGCTGTCTGAAGTGCAGTTGTGCTTCACATCAATGTGCTGCCCACAAGGCTATGGCTCTGACAGAGATTACTGTACACTCAGGATACTAAGGGGTGATTCTCTTATATGTCTCAATGAGATAATCAGCTTTGTCTTAAGATGTCTTCAATTTTATTTGAGGAGAAACGTTAAACTTTTACCAATATTGTAAATACTAGAGTGCTCAAATGAAATCAAGAGCACCCTCAGTTAAAGCTGTAATAATGGCATTTCATTGCAAATTTGGCAAACGGTTATGGTTTGCGCACTGGAGATCATGTTTGTGCTGCATTGAGCAAGGTAGTCAACCACAGACAAATCTGTTGATTTCTTGAACAGACAGTCAGAGGCGTTTAAGTTAGAATCCACTCACCGCTCAAATCGCCGCAGTTTTTGTTCAGGTGTTGTGTTCAGCACGAATCATCTCATTACAACAAAGTGTTGACGCGATGTAAATAAGAGATTCATCATGCAGCATTGAGTACTTCATTGATTATAATGTAACTTTGTGAGGTCGCGATGAATTAAGATGAGTAATTATAAGAGAGCGCTCTTTGTGCCATAGCAATGGACGGCACTTAAAAAATTAATTAATAGATTGAAATTAAAACTTTCTTTTTAACTACTACTTTTTTACAATATTAATGTTTTTTTGTATTTCTGATCAAATAAATGCAGCCCTGGTGAGCATAAGAGACTTCTTTCAGAAACAATATGTAGCATACACTGTACGTTGAACACACAGCTACTTTTGAATGGCCATCAATGGAAGCAGATGGTTAGTTACGACATTTACCAGCAGGTCTAATGGAGTCGTTTTGACCAGCCAAACCTTGACACACACACACACACACACACACACCTGTGCTTTCCCATATGATCTTATGCAGTAACTTTTCCTTCAACAACCTTGCAATTCAGCAATCGGGACAAACAGCATTTGATAAGAGCGCAGACCAGCACAAACAACACTCTGCAGCTGAACTCTTTTAATTAGACGGCGCAGAAGCTGCGGTATTTACCAGGATTGATGAGTCAGTTGCATGTTGTCTGGCTTTGACAGGCAGTCCACGAGCATGATGCCTGTTGAAATACATTTAGGAATATATAAGTGTGTGTGTGTGTGTGTGTGTGTGTGTGTGCATATATTGTCATATAAGAAATTACATTATTTATAGAATAAGAAAAATAAAAAAAAACTGAACAAAAGTTGTTGGGTGAATTAGCAGTGCTTGCTGGGGTTATTTTCTGTGTTAACTGTCCCTCCTCAAAGACCCGCCCTCCTTAGTTACTGTTGCTATGTCTGACAAGCCATGCTGCTCTCACACTACACATCATGTTCTCACACAGTGAAAAGTACATCGCAGAGCAAAGAGGAAACTGACAACACGTCGACAGACAAGACAGGTTACTTCTGATATGAAGCGGAACTTTCAAATTTGGTAATTTTTTAAGAAATGTAAACAATAAATACCCTTTTGTGGCTCTTTAATGTGTTGTGACAGATCGCTGTATTGCCTCAGTTCAAGCAGCACATTAAATAAACATTAATGAACATCAGAAGGTATTTCACTTCAACTGCGGAAAGATGCCAATACACACAATTTTTCATGTTTAAGTCCACCGAAGTGAATCTACTCTCCTGTCTGATTTGTCTGTCAGACACCGTGGCAGATTCTGCATTATTATTGGTCAAATCGCCTGTCAATCAAGCTCTCTGTGAGGGTCAATCGGCAGCATTGCAAAACTGCTGTTGTTTACAGAAACTGTAAATAATCCAGAATATTGCTTGAACATTAAAGTCACACTTTCTCCATCATATCAGCCCTGCGAGAAGAGCTGCATTGTGGGAAGTGTAGTCTGTGTGTTTAGCTGAAGCCTCACAGCTCTTCCTGTGGCCGTGGTTGAACTTCCTGTTTGGTAAGTAACTGCTGCGGACATCTGATGTTTAACTGAAGCAAAAAGGCCTTCTAGTAATATTTTCATAAAACTAACCGTTAGTATTAGCATCTCAATGGCAGCTGCTTTTAGGAGCCTCCATTATGTGTTGCTTGCAAGGATTTCTCTGAATATACAGCTACTCTTGAATGGTCATCAATGGAGAAAGATACTCTTTAGCAGCAGATTGGTGCAGTTCCAGCATCTACCAGCAGGAGTGAACAGATGAAACTAACCAGACAAACCTTGAGCCAAACATCTAACAAGAAAATGCTACATACAGCACACATTAACAGACATACAACAACATAAAGAGAAACATGCACTTGCAATCAAAAAAACATCATATTATATTATATATTAGGATATTATATTAGTTGAAATGAACTCATTTGTGGTGTTGATGGAGTACTTGGGTCTGTAGGAACACATATGGCACAAGTTTAGGAAGCACAGCTATAAACTACAGTTGTTTCTGTGTCTGTGTCCTCTGGATTACAGTCACGTCCAGCGTCTTTGATCTACAGTCATAGAAAATAATAAATAGTTAGTTAACAGACAAAATAACTCAACCAGAGTGAATCTGTTTAATATTATATGATCATTCACACACCAGCTGCTGGAGTTTCAACGTCAAAATACTGAAAAATACTGCAGTCACAGTCTTTTTTAATGCAGTTACTGCTGTCCATTAAATGATAATACACATCAGTTTCTTTATACTCACCTGTTCATATAACACTGGATTAAACTCTATGATGGAGGACGACAGCAGACCTGTGCAAGAGATCAGTGTTAGTCTTTCTGCGATTAATGCTGTAAAACTCTATAATTTAATCTAGTTACTCGTACATGTCATCCCAAACCCAACCAAATGCAATCTTCAGGGTTTTGTTTTTGCTCTAAATGCTGAAACCTCAGAGAAAAGGACTTATTTCATGTAAATTATTACCTTTAGTCTTCTTTCTCTTCCGCACAGCCACTATAATCAATGGAAGACCAATCAGGAGTAAAACCAAAGCCTCCGCAGTGACGATAATCACAACTGAACCTGAAACATACAGGAGGAAAACGCTGTCTGAATGCGCTAAATGACAGACATCATCCAGACATAATGCATATTAAAGGAAAATAAAGAGAGAAAGAGAACGATGAACTGACCTGCTGAGGAGTTGTGTTGATCTGTGATTGTTTCTTTTCTTTCTGTGATTGTGATGCTGCTGGATTGTGGATTTGGTTCTGTTTTGCTGAAATATGACAGTGTTGCTGTAAAAGGGCTGGTGGTTGAAACCTCAGGGGTCTTATTAACTGATGGATGACAGGAAAGTTCAACTTGATCTCAGTTAATATATTAGCTCACTGAATATGAATTATATTGTGTATATAATTATAGATTATGCAGTGAATTGACTTCTATATAATAACATTAGCTACATCTGCTGACCCTTTCTATGTACATTTCTATACTACAATAGGTCCATTTGCAGAAGTCACATTAATCACATTACCCTGTTTAACCAGCAACACAATCTCTGAATAGTCATCAGTTAAAGTCCTGTCCACTCCACACCAGTATTGTCCTTCATCCTCTGTTCTCAGATCAGTGATGGTGACGGTGAAAACTCTGGCCGTCGTGTCGTCACTCAGAGAGAATCTCTGGTCTTCAGCTGGAGATCCTGATTTAACCATGATGTTTCTCTGTCCAAAGATACACTCGCCTTTACACAGATACTTTGGATTTGATTCATATCCAGATTCATATGTGCATCTGATGTCTGCTCTCTCTCCTCTGTGTCCTATGACTGTAACTGAAGCACCTGCAACACCTGAAAACAGAAACATCATTATAAAGAGCTGTTATGTGTGAGCAAGAGATATTATCAGACCAGAAGAATAACTGACACATATGAGACTGATAATCATGCAGTAACAGAGTAAAAACAATAAAAACACATCAACTTTTGTACAAAAGCCCTGAGAGTCTTAAACTCACCTGTACAGATGCTGGAAAAGAGGAAGAGAACGTCCCACATGCTAAGATTTTACACACGTTTTGCTTAAATACAAGACAAAAGCTCAAGCGTTATGGTATTTCTCTTCCGTACTGAGTGAAAAAGCATGCTGTGTCTGCAACTATATCAAACATGTCCTTCCCCTTTCCGTATCTCTGACCACATCAGCTCTTCAGGACATCTTCAGAGAGCACATCTGTAACGTTTGACTGTGTTTGCATAGTCACACATCAGCCGAGGAACAATATTTCCCTCGTGTGCACCAGTAAACTCAATCATCCGTGCCGTCAAATATTTATATATTTATAATATTTAAACCTGCATGTACGGAGTGTAATATTTTCGATCTCTTTTGCTCAACGCTGGAGTGTTAATAGGCCTGCTGCTTTACACCAGTGAGAAAACGTATTCCTCGCTGCCAAAAGAAAAGTCTTGAGACTGTAACACTTCTGTGTGGCCTTTAATGCTGAAGCTTCATTTTCTTCAATGCGATTAAACACAACAGAAGCTAATTCCTCTCCACACTGACCTCTGATGGACAGCATATGAATTGAGCCAAAGCAACATGTTACACTTCCACACATCTCTACAGCATCACTGAGGCTCCAGAAAACAATAAGATAATGGCAAAGTCCTACTAAGACTTCATCATGACTGGTAATAATGGTGACTTAAGGGCATTCCAATTCTCAGTTAAAGCTCATTTGTCAGATCAACACTGTTCTTTCCATAACAGACTATGAAAGACTCACTGACCTGGATTTTGACATCTCTATTCATGTAGGTGTGTAATTGTGTTCTAGAAAAAAACTGTTGATATAAATGTATTTATTGCTTAGCATCTTCATACATCTTACAACACATTAAAAGTCATTTGTCAAACCTAACCTGTTATTACTAAGTGATTGAGGTTTTGCTGCTTAGCAAGAGCCCACTAGCACCTGAGGGTACTTGTTCAAAGAATAAACAACAATTTCTTTTCTTCCATGTCAGTCCTCGACACGCGTTCATGACAGTACCACGACGCATGCGTGTGCATTCCTCTGCTTGAAAACAAGCCGCACCGACAC